TCAAATTAACAATGCGGAGCGCGGCTGGATGAAGCTCTAGTGACGTCACACATACTTTAAAGCTGTATATCTCAGTGATGGTTTATCGTAGAATAACGAGGTTTGAACAGTTATTCTTAGATTTTTTTCACACTAAACTTTTGGTGCACACCCCCTTTAAACACAAATATTAATTATTCCGAAATTTCAAAAACTGATATCTTCAATGAGATTAGCAAACTGCCAAACTAACTCACTTCTGGACCTGATGGAATACCAAATTTTCTATTGAAAGAATGTGCCTGTACCATTGTGCTGCCTTTGCATTTACTATATAATTAGGTTTTGAAGTTATCTACATTTCCTAACAAATGAAAAGTTAGTCACATTGTTCCAATATTCAAGAGCGGTAAAAAGGACAATGTGGAGAACTATCGCAGTATGTGTATCCAATCAGCTATACCTTAACTGTGATAGTTCTCCACATTGTCCTTTGGGCAAGAGTGGAATATAGTGAATTCTGATAAAGAAGAGTTGTTAGGGAAATATTTGGATCCTCAAATCCTAAACAAGCTTAGGTTTGCCTCACCCACTGTTGGCCTGGCCGAAGCTTTCGATCCTGAGGCAACAACCCTTCCAGAAAAAGTGTACTTGAAAATTGGAGTGCTCTCATGGCTTTTCTGCGACGGGCTTATCATAGGTCGTCCGGCTGTGGCGGCAAGAGTTAGAGCTTCAGCAGTCCAGAATGAACTGGTAGTGGCCTCCTTGAGTGAAATCAGACCGCTTCTGATCTCCAGAAAAGAGGCTTGTCGTCGGGCGATGAAACGTCTGTCTCACAAGCCAATACGTCTTCCAAGAAAAAAGAGACCCGGCTGGACAAACTGAAGAAAAGTAACTTGGAGATACGAAGTATGATGACGGCATTGTTGGATCAAATGGACTCACAGGCAAAGAGTGTAGTTGAAGAGTTGATGGATGAAGAAGATATAGAAGAGGATTTCTCGTGTGAAGATCCATTGCATGATAAGACTACGGAAAATGCGTCAGATGATCAGTCCAGCTGGAAGGCCCGCAGCTTATTTCCTGAACAATTATTACAGGATGTGGAAGACATTGACTTTGCCCCCAGGACTTCAGAACAGCAGCCTTTGATTGCTCACCTAAACCAAACATAGAGCAACAGGGCATGGATTGTCAGAGACTCAATTTATCATCATTTAACAAGACCAGATACCTAGAATCTCAAAAAACGCCACTGGGACTTAATGTTCAGTTGGAGCGCATAAACATGCTATTTAAATCTTCAGACAATCTTATCAGGATCTTCGCTTGCTTGTATTTCACATGGTATTCTCCTCCAGCGCGAAGCTTTCCGTAGATCTAATGGATGAAATATCAAAACAGCCTTCCCTCAAGAGTGACATACAGGAGATCATGCTAAGCCCAGATTCTGAATTCGGATCTATTTCGCGCGATCTGCTGCAGTACACCTGTGGCCGTAAGGAAGAAGTAATTGAGCAGAGGAGGAACTGCTTCAAACCGAACAGTGCAGTAGTTTCCACGCTTCTTCAGAATATTCTACCCTCGGGAACCCACCTATTTCAAGAAAAGCCGCTAGACGAATTGGTGAAATGACACGGGTACGCGTTTCGTGACAAATCCAAGTTTAAGGACCATCCAAAAACGTTTCATAGGAAAGAGTATAGGCCAACGGGCGAATATAGCACTACTTCTAGTGACAGACAATCGTCCTCAAAAGTTCATCATCAAGAAAGATCGTTCTCAAGGCTACGCCTACCGAAAGAATCAAAGAAAAGAAATTATTCCACAGCATCCAGCCGGTCATTTCGAGAAAGCTCCTCTTCGCAGCGAGTTAAGAAGCAATGACTAGCGGCCTCAGATCTTCAAAGGAGGAAGGCTTCAAAGCTTTGTAAAGAGATGGGAGGAAGCCGGCGCCCCAACAAACAATTTAAAATCAATAAGGGGTTACTCTCTGCCCTTCGTAAAGACTCCTCCGACAACCTTTTTCACCAAGCAAATCTTGACTCGTTTTTATACGCCGAAAATGGAGAAACAGTTCGAGACGCTTTTAACTCAGGGCGTAGTAGAGGAATCCACGGCAGACTCGGGCTTCCTATCGAAGATATTTTCAATCCCAAAATCGGATGGCAAAAGGCGGACCATTTTCAATCTGCGTGCCCTAAATCAGTTTCTTTGCCCAAAGCAGTTTCGACTAATGCATCATCTAAAGGTCCCCAACTATTTGCAAGACGGAGACTTTCTAGTCAAACTGCGAAACTGGACACAACACAGGCATATTATCATATTCCAATAAAAACCCATAACAGACTTTTTCTATCCCTGGTTTATCAAGGCAAAGTTTTCCAGATGACTTGCCTCCCCTTCGGGTTATCAACGGCCCCACTTGCTTTCGCAAGGATTTCGAACTGAATAGCAAGCCAACTAAGAGATAGAGGATTGAGGATAATAGTCTACTCGGACGATTTTCTGTTAGCGCATCAGGATCCTCGCCAGCTGTCTTCATATCTATCAATGACAATTCAGTTCCTGGAGGAGGCTCGATAATAAACAGAGAAAAGTCGGTAGGCCTTTCTCAGACCAAGATAAAATTTCTAGGAACTTCTTGGGACACGGTAGAAAAACCATTTCTCTTCCAAACAAGAAAAAGGTCCCTATAATCCACCATTAATGATTCGAGACCTTCAGCTCCATCTGGTGGACATCTCCACAGGCCTCCCACTTCCTCAAGCTCGGCGTCTTAGTTTGGAAGTTTGGAATTGGAATTAACCGGGAACTGAACTCAAGAGGCGTAGAAGTACACTTAAGACGTATGCATTAGCCTGGAAAAATTGGTTGGTTCACGCCAGAGAGAATAATGTTTCACCCAAAGACCCACACCCTAGTGGCTTTATTTCTAAGTTATCTGTATAGAATGAGAAAGTTGGCTCCAACAACCATTAAACTATACAAATCGGTCATAGCACTATTTGCGAACCCCATAAAAAACGAATGCATTTTGAGTCATACTCTAGTACATGTACTCAGGATAGCCCTCGACCCCCTTCAAATAAAAAAGTTACATGGGATGTTTCAACATTGATCAATTGGTTGAGGTGCGATCGAGTAGATAGAACCAGCTTGTTCCAAGTTTCGAGAAGGTTAGCTTTAATTTTGCTGCTCTCGCCGGGGCGGAGAATACATAATTTAACCCTTTAAAGAATCGATAAGGATCATATGGCAGTGGGCGATGACAGTATTTGTTTATGGTCAGAATATGGATCAAAAACCGATAAAGCCAAGCCAAGTATAGGCAGTCTGGTTGGAGGATTTCAAAGATTGCAGTGGAGGACTTAGACCCAGTGTTCTGGGTAAAACAACGAATTGAAGTATCCTCCGACCGCAGAAAAGCTGTGCCCAAGCTTAATAAGCTATTTATATCTACTAGAGGAATAGTACAGGCGGTTTCTAGGACCGTTATTGCAGGTTGGGCAAAAGCAGCATTTGTGGCAGCAAACATTAACTATTCGCCTGGTAGCATTAGATCAGCGGTGGCTTCCACTGGATTCGAGAATAATGTTCCCCCTGATATCATCTTAGACAGTGGGAATTGGAAAGTTCAACAAAACTTTTTCAAATTTTATTACAAGGAAGTGCAGCGAATTAATCAGCCGGGTAATAGGTCAGTTGATCTGGTCACTGATAAATCAGCTATGCCGGTGTGATTGTATAAAAACTTCATGCTTATATTTGTTTCGTATGTAGGAAAGCAATTTTTATCTTTATTCAAGAAGACGGTTTTGTTGTTCTTATTATTGAAAATATGACTTGTCGTGGTGGTTTAGTGGATTAGAGCGTAGCACCGGCAATGCTGAAGACGCTGATTCCTAAACTTTCTCTTTATTTTCAATTACCACGCTTTTCGGTTGTTGTAACCGACAAAACTTCATTTCCTTCCAACAGTGCTTATGCGGTCATCGCATACACCGAGTTTTAACACACATGGACGAAACCTACATATAGTAATAGGTTAACTTATTCGAATTAGGACCGATGCCATGAATGTGTGGGGGGTCTATTGGAGGATTGAGAATTTTGGAAATGAGCGGAGAACCACGTAACTTCCTCTTACAACACCAAAACGAAAATCAAAAAGTTCTGTAGGGTCGTGGTGGCCCAAGACCAACATTTTTAATCCTTCAATTTTTCCTAACTTTCTCTTCAATTTGTTGAATTAATTTTATTTATTTTTTTATTTCATCACCCTGTATATCTTAAACGGATAACTGTTTTCAAGTTAAACATATATCAAAAAATCGGCCAATTATTTAAGAGTATGTGCTGCATGGTTTGTGGTAGATTTACTTCACTGTTTAGTGAAAAGACAAATAATCCAAAACATCTTTTTCCAAGGTCATTCAACTTGAGAGCGCCACCCCGGCTAAAGCGTAGGTAATAGACACATGCTGTCGCTGGATAAATGAAGAGGACTAAATCTCTTCAATTTACTATAAAGGTATTTTGTTGTCATACGTAGCGAAAGCGCTACGTTTGGGAAAAACCACAAAAACTTTGGGGGGATGAATTTTGTTGGAAAAAGTTAGACCCATATTAAGCTGCCCTTGTTCTACCAGAAAAAAAAAAATAAAGCAGAAATTGTTTCGAGATTGCGAGGTTCAACCTCTCCTTCCTGGCCTAGTTGTGGCCTTGTGCATTTCGTTGCCTTTGTCACCCAAACTGCTCCGATTTTTCAGGACCTTTCCTCGTTTGATTGGTTCGTTGAATGGTGCTATAAATGGCATTTCAACTTTCAATTTCGAGCACATTTTTCCTTATGATATTTTGCTAATAGCTGGCTCTTGCATGAGAAGAAGAATAAATTACTCCTAATATTTTTGTACTAAAATATTGAATGCAAGTTCGAATGCCATTTCAGGGATGTTTGGTTGTTGGAAGGTCAAAATGTATGGTAAATTGAATCTTTTGGAATTTGACACTGCAACCTATTCCCATCTTGACTTTTCTCTGATCTTGACATTGAATGACGTTTACATCATTTACATAAACCAAAATTCCTAGTGAAAAGTATGACCGATCCATCAGAAAGTGATGAAGCCCGCAAACCAGAATCCCAACCCAAAACTAAATCCCTTAAAGATCGTGCAGCCCAACAAATACAAGAGGTACAAACTCAGTACGAAGAAACCAACAAACAATTAACTGGTATATTGACACAACATATACCTCACGAGTACTACGACGACATTTACCAAAATGTTGCCAGCGATTATGAAGATATTCTACAAGAAAATATGGTCAAACTAAAACAAATCGCCAAAGAAGACTTCGATATTTGCAATCGCAATAATCAAAAATTAGTTGAAGATACAAAGGAGCAAATTCACTGTTTCATTTACAAAACCTTCCAAGAGCATGCATCGAAAAAAGATTTCACTCAAATAGCCGAGACAATTTTTGAAAACGTTAATAAAAAAGTTAGAGAAGATTTAAAATCTAAAACCAAATCCACAACTAAAGCAGTAGAAAGTACCAGAAATAGCATAAGTCCAGATATTAATATTAATTTTGACTTTCGAAAGATGCCAGAAGAGGTGGAAGCTGAGCAGGGGCTTCAGAAGTTTTTCGAAGAAGAAATCTTACAATTCAGTGAGCAAATTGAGGAGGACTTTGGGAATATTAGGGAGAAAATGTTAGAAGATGTGGATGAAACTAAAAATAAATTGAAAGAAATTATGGCAAAGGCAAGGGAAAAAGCTGTTCCCAGGGAACTTCCGGAGGTAAGTATACTAATTACTACTTGGTAAAATGTATTATTTTGTTTCTTATTGACTTGGTTTGATCTTCAACTGAATTACTAACAACACAAGTGTTATCGTGAACAATCGAGATTAAGTGGGTCGGAGCCAATTTTTGAAAAGTTTGCACCATTGTGTGGGACTTGTGTACCCTGAGAATAAAAAATGGAACAACAACTGCTGCGATTTTCCAGAATTTTTCTTCTTTGATTGGTAAGTAAAATCTGTATTGGTTGAGAGTTACGATGCCACATTTCCTTTCCTATGTGTTGATACTTGAAGAGAATTCTGATATCTTCTTCTTCCTAGCCGTTCTCTATCCTCTGGATATAGGCTTCTCTCAGATTTTCCCAGTCGATTACTTCAAGCTCTTGATTGACTTTGTCAAGCGTTATTTCCTGTCCTAGTAGATACTACATAGTAGTAGTAGTTTTTTACCTGTTCCCGGCTTTCTATGGTTATGGCATCCCTATCTGTTTGCTCATCTGTCATAAACTTTTTGATATGTTCATTTATAATCAGATCTTCTTGGCTGCTTGACGTGATTCTTCCAAGTCTGTTTCGTTCGGGGCGAATATAACGATGTCATCAGCGCATCTTAAATTATTGAGGTTTTCTCCAGACATATTGATCCCTTTTTTTCCCAATGTAGTTCCTCAAACACATTTTCAACACGTGGGATTCATTCTTTAAGTGACTACACCTTTTCCAATTGTAATTCAGAAAGCGGAAAATGTATTTGAGAAAGGGAAATTAAGTTTCAGAAAATGGAAAATGTAATTCAGAATAGGAAGTTATTATTCAGAATATGGAATTTGAAATTCAGAAAAGGAACATAATATTCAGAAATGGGAATTTGTAATTCAGAATAGGAATATGTGATTCAGAAAGGGGAAATTTAATTCCAGAAAATGTAAATTGTAATTCAGATATGCAATTTTGAAAATCAGAAATAGGAAAATGTAATTCAGAATCATGAAATATCTATGAGTGTTTTTTTTTTCAACTTTTAATCTTGTGTCGCTGAACACGGGACTGCTACTTGCGTTTATTAAATTATCATTTGTACAGTTTTACATAAAAATGTTCTTTGCGAATCCAAATACAAAAATCGTATTCATACAAATTCAATTTTTATTCAGTTACCTATACGTAAGCAGATAATAACATTCCTCTAAAAAAATTACCAAAAAGTATGTTGATAACTTAATTTCCTCAAATGCAATTCAAAATTTCAGTTACTGACCAACTGGCATATCATTTAATGCTAGCGCCACGGCATGGAAGGTGGTTGAGTGTTGGTTGGTTCTCTCACTATCTGTATGTACCTGTGCTCTGCTCTGTATCTCTGTACATAGCTTATCGTGAGGTGCATATTATACTTTTCTGAATTACAAATTCCATTATCTGAAATTAAATTTTCACCGAGATTTTCACCTTCTGAAATACAATTTCCCTTTTCTAAATTATAATTTACAGTTTCTGAATTTCAATTTACTATACTGAATTACAATATTGCTTTTCTGAATTTCAACTTCCTAATCTGAATTTCATTTTCCCTATTCTGAAATTAAAGATACAATTCTCAAATTCAATTTCTCTTTCCTGAATTATAAGTTCCTATTCTGAAATACATGTTCCCTTCTCTGAAATTAAAGTTTTATTTTCTGAATTACAATTGAAAAAGGTGTAGTTGTGTGTTGCTTTTGCTTGAGTTTGGGCAAAGTTTTGCTTTTAACTGGGTGGTTTTACCTGTTATTTTGGTCTGTAAGGGGTTATAGTTAGTGAAATTTATTTTGGGAGGACTTTTTCTTTCTTGTGGTTGTCAATTTCAATAATTATCGGTAGTTTGAGGAATTTATCAATGGACAAGTAACTTTCTATGACTTCTTGCAAGATATGGCATATTTTTTTCAGATTATTGCTAGGTATATTAATTTTTAAAATTTAGTTTTTTTTTGCTAATATTTTGGTTATGAATTGTTAGTATTGTACTGAGGTATTGTAAGGGCAAAGTTGTTACACAGCGGACAAAATTGATGTAAAGTAACCTTGGCTATTCTTAATATTAGCCCAAATTGGGAAAACATTTTCCACTTCGTTGGAGACATCTGACAAAGATTAAGCTGTTTGCTTTCTGTTATTGGAAGGCAACATGGATTTTTCTATATATTTTCTTTTTTTTTAGTTTTTATGCCTCTAAATTTTGCAGAGATTTGTGTAGAGACTTACCTTGCCAGTTGGGGTTTATAGGACCTTAGATTTGTTGTTGGGTAGAGATAAAGGATTTCATTGTTTGGATTATTTTAGGTTAGGATACGAAGGATAGTCCGTCCAACTTTCTTTTCTTTTGGAGATTCCGGGATTAGTGTAACATTTTTTTTTTGTTAAATCCTTTAGCGTCTTGGTAGTTAGGTGCGTTTCTGGGTTTTTCGGCGTTTTGGTTTCTCTTCCTGGTAGGGGACAGGGGAGACTAATCTGTTATTAGTGATAAATTAGTATAGGTATAATTTTGTTGTTTTTTTTTTATATGACAATTTTTGGTTGGTTTGATTAATCCATCCTATACAAGATGGATATAAATAGGCTTCGAGGGGATGAGATATCTTATGAGTTGTTGATCCGAAACTGTGCGCAGGGAGCTAATGTGCAGGAGAAGCGTCAGGTTCTTCGAGCTGCTTTGAGGAATAATATCAGTGTGAGTTCTAGGGTTGAGATTGATCCTTGTAGGGAGCTGACTACGTATTCTGATAAAGTCAATGAATACTTCGAACTCATTGGAAATTTTGATATCAACAATAAATAGACTCAATGAGTATGCACAAATCCAATCTAGACTTATGCATTGAGGCTAGGTTGAAGCGAATAACGCCACAGACAGAAGCACAAGATAGAACTATTGACAATTTACTGTTTAAATGTCATCATCTCTTTATTTATTTTGATCGTGTTTTTGTTAGACAATCCGGTGATCCACCTCCAGTAGAAATAGTGATATTATTCACTCTGGTGCCTTGCCTGATAATCGATACGCAAATGTTTCGGATCGAAGAAGGATTTCTCATTCAATGCCAGTTGTACTGAATGAGGTTTCAAGTCATCATAATATACTTGATGTGGGCAGGTCTCTGCGGGGATCGATTGTTAATGATATTCTTACTGGGGTGCCACCTTTGGATGAAGAGGATCAGACAATCTCGGATCCACCAGTCGATCGATTTATAGATCATGATATTAATGGAGGTAGGGCTAATGCGTCGAATCCTTCTCTGTCAAACAGGCGAGTTTCGTATGTCACAACTCCCAGAGTCCCTTCGGGTATTCAAAACCAGAATAACGACTCTCCACCCGATCATTACGATCTTTTCGTAATAAATCACACAATTATGGAAGCCGTTCCTCATCACCTAATTAAAATGAATGTTTCGGCGATATGCCTCCAAGCAGTCAAAGCGGTTCACAACGGTTCTCAGGGCCCCCCAAACAGTTCATATCCAAGACCGAACAGTTGTCATTGTCACTGTTCTGCTTCCTCAACCCAGCAATCAAATCGATTGGACCATAGAAACTTTCTTCCCATTAGTAAATGGATTTTTTTTTGACGTTTCGTGTAGGCGTGTGTCACCATCAACAAACCCTAGAGCCTCTGTTGAACCCAGTTTAGCTATTCGACGCTCTCTGCCTTGCGCGCCCCATATTAACGTTATTACTGACGATGGCCAGGATGATCTGATTGATTTGGCAGAACCTGTTTCATCAGCTGTGCGGGCCCTTACACTCCAAACTGACGAAGAGATCAGTTTGAAGAAGTCAGTTGCAAGTACTCCTTATTTAAGTGCTGTGGGAGTCCAAGCGGAAAAACTTGAGTATGATCAGCGGACTCCTCAATTGCCTCATCGTGGTGTTTTGGTCGTTTGCTTTAATTGTCACAAACCTGATCCTATGCTGAGAAACTGCGACCGGGCGATTTAATGTAGCAGGTGCGGAAAAATGGTGATTACGCAGAATCTTTGTGCGTGTTCGGGTAACGTAACAGGTCGTTGTTAAAAGACCACAGCAGTCTTCTCCTAAAGTATTTTATTTATTTTCGACGCGCGAGCATGACAATCGACCATATACGGAAATTGATGTGTGCGGTCAAAAATTGGGTAGTTTTTTGGATAGCGTTGCAAATAACACCATCCCTGGTGGCTCCGGTTGGGAGCAGTTGTTGGAATTGGGGTTACAGATTCAGCCTTCGAACATACCTCATTGTAGGGTTGCCAGCAATCAATTGTGCCCAGTTTTAGGAGTTGGTTGGCCGCGAAATTTTTCTTAATGTCTCGGTGACACCAATCCTCTCCCATACTTTGATACTAGGAGTTGATTTCTTTCGAGAAATGGGGTTGGTTCCTAATCTTGCCAGAGGGACTTATGAGTTTAATTTCGTTACTTCTGAGGTTTTTGGAGAAAAGGATGTTGTGCAGATCTCTACTGTGATTTCTCATAAAAATCTCACCTCGGATCAGCAAAGACAGTAAGATGAATTAACAGAGATATACTTGCCCCTATTGAGCAAGGGTTTGGAAAAAACTTCGTTGGTGGAATATCGAATTGAGGTTATCTCTGAGCCAATAAGACAACGAGCGTATCGTGTCTCTCCGGTAGTTCAGTTCAATTGGGAATTATAGAACCCTCCTCAGCTTCTTCTTGGTCATCTCCGGTCTTGCTGGTCTGTCTGACGGTATTTGTCGTTTTGTGGTGGATTACCGTAAGCTCAATAAACATTCGAACAAAATAGCATATCTAATTCCTTTCATCAATAACATCTTAGATAAACTTCTTAATGCTAAATATCGATTTGAATTCCGCTTTCTGGCAGGTTCTGGTGGAGAGTTCTTCCAGAGAGTTTATGGCGTTTGTGATTCCCGGTAGGGGTCATTTTCAGTTCAATAGGATGCCATTCGGACTAACAAATAGTCTTGCGACTTTTCAAAGATTGA